TTTGCTTATTTCTCACTTAAGTCTGTCTACTCGGCTGTGTTTCAAACTCATGCTAAACATGTGAAGGAACGGGATGGCTTGGGACAGCATGGCCTGTCCCTAGGAAACGCCCCCTTCATCCCACAGTGCTTTTCATCCTGGGGTGACTTGGCGATTAATGACACAGCCGGGCCAGCTTCTTCCCCGGGAGCACTGGCAGGACAGAACTCTCCTTTCTTTTCAGCCTTCCTAAGTCTGTATTCATAGTGCACCTCTGTGGACAGCAGGACAGTTCGTCTTGTATTTTGATCCAGTTTGACAAATTCATAAAGAAGCAAAACAAGTAAACCAGAGCTTGGAACATTCTAGCAAATAACTGGTCTTCAAAAAGTCAATGTTCACTGTTCATAAATAAGAGTCATAKATCTTATAAAGGACTGATATCTAAAATGTATAATGAATTCTTAAGACTCAACAATAATAAGATTTAAAAAGAAAACAAACAAACAAAAAACCTGTTTTTAAAAATGGGCAGGGTTGGGGACATGGCTCAGAGGTAGAGCACTTGCCTGGTACGCACAAGCCCTAGATCTGAATAGGCACCTCACCAGAAAGACATGCAGGTGGTAACTAAGCATATGAAAAGATGCTTAATGTAATATATCATTACAAGTTGATGAATAACGAGAATTACATATTAAACAATATTAAGAAACCACTACACACCCAATAGAATGGATAAAATCCAAAACATCAGCACCACCAAATGCTAGTGAGGATGTAGACCACCGGGAACTCTTGCTTCATGCTCGTGGGGAGGCAAGTAGTACAAACACTTTGGAAGAATGGCAGTTTCTGACAAAGCTAAACACACACACTTACATAATTTAGGAATCATGCTCCTGTAAATATAACCAAATGAGTTGGAGATATGTCCACATGAAAACCTGGATGTGGATGGTAATACTTTGTTCATAATAGCCAAAACCTGGAAGAGATGGAGACATCGCTCAGGAGGTGAACACCTGAGCTGGGGCACACCAGACGGGAGTACCAGTCGGTACTAAAAGGAAATGTGCTGTTGGGCTGAGAGAAGACACAACCACCACAAACCGGAAGAAAACAGATACACACCCGGTCTAATAAAGGCCAGTATCTCAGATGTGCGGGAATTCCCTCAGGTACCACCTGCATGTCTTTCTGGTGAGGTATCTGTTCAGGTCTAGGGCTTGCAAGACAGGCGAGTGCTCTACTCTGAGCCATGTCCCCAGCCCTGCCCATTTTTAAGGTCGGGGGTCTGTCTTCTTATTGTTGGGTCTCCTCGCCAGCTTAAGAGTGGGGTCCCGGTGGTCCACACCCCACCAGCATTTGGTGGTGCTGGTGTTTTCACTCTGTCCTTTCTTTTGAGAGTTCTGAAAAGACGAACCACAGCGAGGCGGGAGACAGCAGGGAGGAGCGTGGGGAGGCCCAGCACAGGGGACTGCAGGGCGTTTCTCTGCAGCCAAGACCCCAGGCGGCCTCCCCACAGCTGCCCCGCCGTCCAGACAGCAACCGGCAGGCCTTCCAAAAACTCTCACAGTGTGTGTGAAGGCAAGAGATGTCCCCAACTTGCTTCCTCAGGTCACGGCTATACTGAAGGGCCAGAGTAGGCAAAGACAGCAATGGAGAGAAAACTCCAAGCAACCCTCATCGAGAACACAGGTCTGAACTATCAAGCAGAATATCAGCACACGGAGCTCAATTCATAATGACGAGCAGGCTATCCCAAGAATCGAAGGCGTGTACCATGTTATAAAGCCACAAACTCTCACTCAACACAGCATCAGTATAGGGGAGATATCGTCTTGAGGAGCCTACCATACAGACATGGAACAGTGGCTTCAGAAACACCCTCACCAGCTCCTGACTTCTTAAAAAAAAAAAAAAAAAAAAAAAAAAAAAAAAACACACACTGGGAATAGAACCTTCTTAATCTGATAAAGGTATTTCTTTCTTTTCCACAAAAGCAAACATCACACACCAACAGAGAAAGCAGCAGGCACTCCCGAAAACACGAGCTTGGGCAGATGCGAGCCAGCCAGGAAACCAGCACAGTGAAGAGGCCCAGCTGGTTGGGAGGAGWAAAACTGTTACTGTTTGCAGATGACATCACAGTCTGTTAGGAAAGTTCAAGACGATGTCCTGAAGAATTAGAATCAACAAGAGAGTTGGAAGGTCAGCAGATACAACACAAACCAACTGCCTTTCCACGTGCCCTGAGGAGAACATCAGGAAGTGCAGGTCTTGATAAAGAGGACATGAAGACAGGTCTGGAAGATGGACACTGCTGCAGTGCGACTCCTCCCAGACCGGCTACCAAGGAACATGGTGCCAACAGGCTGTCTCGAGGCATATGGACCAAGGATGATCAGAGGACCAAAACTGGCCAGGGTCCCACTAAGCAGAGCCAGTCGCGGTAGAAACCAAGACTCACTGCAGGGGACGCTTGGAACAGAGTGGGAAGCTCAGAGACACACCCCACAAAAGCTGGTTTACTTTAAAGCAGGCACTGAAGGACAACAGAACAGGTAGGTACTCACTTACAAAAACAAATCTGGATCTCTGCCTTATGCTGTGTGGAAGAAATCAGTTTTGAGTGATGACCTAAATAAAATGGATAGAAAAACACAAGATCCCCAACGGAATACCCAGGGGACACTTCTGACCTTAACATAAGGCAAGTCTTCTTCCAGGAGATAAAAAGTATGCCACACCACATAGGAGAGAGGGAGGAACACCACCAGATCACAGTGAGCCACTCCTGTTCACCAAGGGACACCACAAAGAGAACGGGGAAACAAAGCAAGCCATAAATTCAGAGAAGACAGTCACAATCCAAAAGAATGACAGAGAATCACTGTCTGGAATATAAAAAAATCCCTCAAATAAGTAAGCAGAGGGCCAGCAGCTCAAGTGGAGAACAGGGGGGAGCCCAGTGGTATGCAGGAGAGGTCACCCACACAGCCAGCATACAGATCAGAAGGTGCCCAACTCAACAGTCACCAGCAAAGTTCAAACTCCAACACACCCACCCAACTGGTACAAATAGACACAAATTTTGGTGGCACCCAGTGTTGGTAAGGGTTGTGGTTTGGGTCTGGACTGTCCCCTCAAGGCATGCAGCAGGGTTTGAGGTGGGCTTTGGGAGGTGACTGAATTGTGAGGGCTCTGAACTCACAGTGGTTTGACCCATTGGTGGATTTGGACTTTAAAGAGCAATTGGGAGGTAGGGAAACTTTGGGACCTACCTGGAGGAAGTAGAGGGAACAGAGTGGGAAGCTCAGAGACACACCCCACAAAAGCTGGTTTACTTTAAAGCAGGCACTTAAGGACAACAGAACAGGTAGGTACTCACTTATTGGATGTGTGTCCTTTAAGGGCATAATTTGTCACCTGGCCCACCACATTCTGCCATGATGTTCTGCCTAACCACAGGCCTCAAGATAAGGAGCCAGGTGACTGTGGACTAAAACCTATGAAACCTGGAGCCAAATAACCCATTTCCCTGTTTAAGCTGATTTCCTCAGGTATTTTGTCATAGCAATAGAAAGGTGGCACACACAGCGAGGAAGATAAAAAGTTAAACACTAGTGCCATTTTGCACAGGAGAAGATGGGGCCCATTTGAAGTCCCCAGCTCAGAAGGCACTGAGATGGCATGGCATGGCATCCATAAGTGAAACAATCTTTCAATCCGCATGCATCACAGGCCCACCTTGGACCACAAGGGCCACTCTTCAGAGCAGAAGTGTGTGTGAAAAGCAGGCGTAGAATATCACCTGCAGGACAGTCCCAATCCATCTACAGAGACTGGGCCCCAGGCCCCGTGCCTACATGTCCAACAAGCAGGGAAGACCTACAAAGAACAGCACGGTGATGATAGGCTCAGAATTCTTGGCACCTCACTTTGTCTCCTTCCTGAACCAGCCAGTGGGTGCCTGGCAGTTCATTGTGCCATGTTTCCTTCCATTCTACTACTGTCATAATTACAGTTTTGAACCTCCGAACATTTCATACAAAAACTTAGAGGGCACTTAAATACACCTAGGGAGAAACAGCAGCCCCTGCAGGCAGAGCTGGGCCTGGCATCCTCCAACTGCCCTGCCTGCTCTGCCTTCTGTCCAGGGTCCTGAAGTCTTCCTCTAGGCCTCTCCACACCACCACCTGGGCCAAACACTAGGAAACAGGACACTCCTGCAATCTTTCAATCCACATTTGGTCACAGGGCCAGGAAGTTTCAGCGCTTGTCCAGATCCTAAAGCTAGTAAGCAGCACCACCTGCAATCGTGTTTGCTGGACCACCAACCAGTGGTGGAGTACACAATGGGGCCCGCTACATGCCCCCAGAGCTACCTTTGTGGAGCATGGAGACAGCAGTGCAGCCAGCTGCTCTGTGGGAACCAAAAGCTCATGCAGGACGGCAGAGATGGAATGCCTGCTCAGCCCAGGAAGGTGGGAATCCTGCCCCGGCTTCGGGAATTACAAGTGATTGCAAGTTCAACATCAGAGAGGGAAGGCTGAGATGGCACTTGCAGGGTGGCTGGGCATTGGCTCCTTAGATAACTCAGAATGTTTTACTTTCCAAGAAAATCACAGATTCTCAAAACGAATTCTTGATAAAATTGACCAACTTGCAACTGTTGAGACTATAAGGAAGTATTCTTTGGCCTCTCCACAGGGAACTGCCAATAACCCCACGCATCAAGGATACTGCACACGCATGTACTTTGAGAATGACCAGCGTGTCCTCCAACAGAAATAGCTCCTGTGCCTGATCATCTATCAGCTTTAATCACTAAAACAGAGATGATCCAAAAACTTCCAGCCAGGGAACTGGCCTGTGGTTCCTGTCTATCTGACTGCTCTCTGGTTGGCAAAATACCACAGTTCAGCAGGAGCTACGGGGAGTTCACCTCTGCGACCACTTCAACTGACAAGCCTCTATCTAGCAAGAGGAAGGCAGGGTTCCCAGGGTGGGCTCACCTTGTTGAAGACCCAGACCTCGCCATTCACTGTGGGCCTGGGCACGCCGTGGCCATTGTAATGGAAGAGGACCCGCTCCTCCTTGGCATTCCGGCGCAGCGAAGTGCACAGCTTCTTGACCTCATCCACAGTTGGGTCCAGGCTCTGCTTGTACCGGGCCTGTGGAAAGAGAAGAAATGAGAGGCTTACCACAACCCCCAACAGCCAGAAGGCACTCTATTCTCCCAGAGTCTGTAGCTAGTAGCGTGTGGTTCCAGACACAACCCCAGCCTCTGCCTTGTGCACTGGACAGAAACTCCTTTGCATGACAGAGCAGGTAAAGGCACTCATTCATTTAACATACCGTCATTGGGAACGACTTCAAAGTCCAAAGGACATCAACACAGAGAGCCTGTCGCATAGAACACAGGCCAGATACAGCTGCCACTTAAAGTACTAAGTACTTGTCAGAAGAGGGAAACCCTCCTGAGAGCACTTCCACAACATGGAACAGAGACAGCTTGCTCAAAGGAGGGTCTGCAGTGCACATGGCAGCAACGGCAGAGCTAGGAAAGAGGCACAGCAAAAAGCCAACTGCCCGCCATATGCCAGCCTCATCGCCTGCTTGAGGGCCTACACCCCTGCCACAGTCTGGACCTAGAAGCCCATACTATGGAACTCAAGGAATAAGCAGGATCTGAAACCACCATACAAAAATCAGACAGACAGCCAGATGAGTGGTGCACATCTGTAATCCCAGCAGCCCTGAAGGCTGAGGCAGGAGGATAGCAAGTTCAAAGCCAGCCTCAGCAACTGCGAGGCGCTAAATAACTCAGAGACCCTGTCTCTAAATAAAACACAAAATAGGGCTGGGGATGTGGCTTAATAGTTGAGTGCTCTTGAGTTCAATCCCTGATACCCCCCAGGCTCCCCAAAATCAGACAAGCAATGAACAGGGGGCATTGTGGCAAAGAAAGCCCTCCAATACAGCAACGAAGATTAACTACGTGGGGAAAGCAAGATGCGTGTAAAACCTGGTGGTGGGAACTTGCCATACTCTCCTGGGAAACACAGGAAGCCTGGGCAAATGCAATGGTGTCCCTGCACGGGCAGAAAGAAGCTCACCATCCTGAAGGTGTCCACTCTCCCCAGGGTCGTTCACACATACCGCACAGTCCCAGTCAATATCCTAACAAGCTATTCTAAGGAATTCGACAATCTGCCACTGAAATCCACATGGGAAAAATACAAACAAGAAAAGCCAAGGAAACCCACGGCAGGGGGCAGGGGCTCCACAGACAAGACCACAGACTGGGGAACTAGCAGAATCAGAAGACAGAGCCACAAGACACCTGGGCTTCTCACAGCAGCAATCACACAGTCAAAACGTAACAAATGCTGACTTAACTCAATGTTGTGCTGACCTGCAGGCACTCTGGGTCGGGAAGGTGGGCGAGGGCAGCAAGGAGCCTGGTCAATGACAATGATGCTGAAGCCAATGATGAGGGTCTCTGCTTCCTATTTATCTGTTCTTGTTTGGTCACAGAGAACTTTTACTGGTAAATCACAACAGAGAAGAACTGGAAGAGCAGAGCTATAGGGACCCTGGGTGGTGAAGTGGAAGCAATAAGGAAGAATCCCGGCCACACCAGGAAGTCAGTTAGAAGGCCCATCGACAGAGCAACACCTGCAGCGAAAGCATACTCTTCAGAAAGATGGCATCCTAGGAACACAGCGCAAGGGTGTGCCTGTAGTGACACTGTGCTCTCATCTTAAAAGCTCGTGTCTGTTCACTAGTCTGAAAAGAAGTAAAGGACATAAAGCCCACGCCATGATGCAATGTGAGGGAGAATGCAGCACAGTAGGAACGTGATCAAAGAAGGGCCTGTGAGGGAGCAGCGGGCCTGCGCACAGCTCTTGGCCAGGCCAGGCTGGCCAGCACTGGCTGCCCTGAGCCTGCCACTGCTCCCAGAAGAGCAGAGAGGGGAAGTGAGCCAGAAGACCAGGGAGGCAGACTGCTCAGTTCCAGGTTTCCAGGCCTTGGGCAGAAAAGCAAGGTTACATGTGAGGGAAAAGCAAGAGACAGGGGCCCAACCTCGACCTGGAGTTGTCAGTCCATGTCTGACAACAAAAGCTAGGATGGCAAAGCAAACACTCTTCACAGGTTCCTTGAATTTTTTTGCACCTGGAAACAAAGCCCATCCAGAGACCACAAACCAATTCACTAGAAGCAGCCCTTCCCGTACTCAGGGCAACTGGGCAGCCCTGCACTGGTGTGGCAGGGTTAGCAAGATGGAGCCCCTCTTAGTGCTTCCTCCCTTCCGACTGGAATGCTGTTTGCAAAGTAAACAGTGTCACAGAGAAGAGCGATTTAGCAAGTAACACCACGCAAAGTGTTCAAGTTCATTTCCACGCATCAGGCAAGGTGTGTTGACAACCAAATGGGGGCTCGGTCAAGGCTGGTCCTCAGGGAGCCAGACCCCACCTGGAAGGAGGAGGTGTGCCAAGGAGCAAAGAGTGCAGGGGTGGGATGCTGGTGCAGGGCAGGGAAGATGGGCATCGCTGCCCCAGACCAGCCACGTCTAACTCACAGGTTCCAGAAGAGCCTGTTCAAGGCCCAGCTCTTTGGCAAAATTCCTTCCTGGACCCTGTCAGCAGGAAGTGGTCTTTTCTTTCTTTGAGCTGACATGAGCTGTTCACTGCCCACTTATGTGACACTGAGGCAGATGCCGCTGACAGCTGAGTGTGCCCTTCAATGCAGGGCACCACATCCTCTCCACACAACAACACACTCAGTCACTAGCAAGTAGTTTCTGAGTGACTATCAGACTGCTAATGACATTGATTATGAAAATCTGTAAAGAAACAAACAAATCAAAATGATGAAATCCTACAGGATGCTGCCGTGACATGAGTGAAGGCCAACAAGATGTTGGAAAGTGAAGACACCTGGATGTGGGCACACTACGCCCTTCAGGTCTGCACACTGTGCTACTCTCAGACTCCAAAGAGGGAAGAGGGCTGGGTGCAGCGCCTCGGTGGAGCTCCCGGTGGCACATGCAAGGTCCTGCAAATAAGGGCCTGCAGTGCACATGGCAGCTAAGAAAGAGGCACAGCAGAAAGCCAACTGCCCGCCATACGTGTCTTCACTTTCCAACATCTTATTGGCCTGGGGTCGATCCTCAGCACCAAAAAATAAGAGCTAAAGTGTTAGGAAAAAAGTAGGGCTGGGGATGTGGCTCAAGCAGTAGCATGCTCGCCTGGCATGTGTGCGGCCCGGGTTCGATCCTCAGCACCACATACAAACAAAGATGTTGTGTCCACCAAAAACTAAAAAAAAGAATATTAAAAAAAAAAATTCTCTCTCTCTCTCTCTCTCTCTCTCTTAAAAAAAAAAAAAAAGAGTTAGGAAAAAAGTAGAGAGAAACACCCTTGATCGTCACTGATCCATTGTTTGTTTGTGCTGGGGGCAAGCCTGAAACGGGATGCTGAGTCTTACAAATCCTGCAAAACATTATGAGAACAGATGACAAATGAAAACCTGGTTCCAGGGGAAACAGGAGACATTCTCTCCACACACCTCGACCTTGGCTACGTGCCCTCTGCAACTACATCCACACAGGCAAGTACATTCTGAAATCAGAAAATAAATTTGAAATGGAGAGAGCTAGACATTCTCTTTAGATAACAGACACAGGGGACAGGTCAATCTGTGGAGACTCATGCCAAAGCGCACAGAGCAAGCTACCTCCCTCGGCCCCAAACAGCAAGCACACAGAGGATAGGGAACCCACTTGCCCCGCCAAATCACCCCAGCCAGTGGACAAGACCCACAAAAACCCAAAACCTGGAGCTCCCTCGGACTCATGGCTGCTATGGCAGTCAAATAGATCAGCAAACCACATCCCACTTGGGCAGATATTTTGCTCTGSGCCTTATGTAAATCACTCAGATACCTACACATTCCTCATCCAAGTGCTCCGTAAGATGGAGCAGCTCAGGAGGGTACTCAAAAAACACGTTAGCAGGAGAAGCCACAGCTATGAGCTCCAGGACAGCTGTGCTTGGAATGCTGGTACAGGCAGAGGTCCTGCTTCCATTAAGGCACTTAGGGGTCCATGCAGGGAATGACCCAGACAGAAAGGCAGGACTCAGCAACATATTTTCAATTAGTGCTAAAAGGAGTCTGAATTTGCTATTTATTTTCTGCAAGCATAGAAAATCTGACAGCAATTTTATTTACCACCAAGGGAAATGCCAGGGAAACTGTATGGAGAGAAGCCAGTTCCTGTGAGCTCAGTGGTTTCTAGTTGTCTGTGAGCACCCCTTGGAGAGGGGCAGGACTGGCTCCATGAGTTTTGTGCGGTGTGCCCAGGACACTCTCCCCAGCCAGAACATTATATGTGGGGTATGTGGGCACAAGCCAGGGAATAGCACCTCTGCCCTCAAAGAAGCCAGGAGGAAGTGCTAGGAAGGGACCTCCTTTCCCTGCACCAGGGGCATTTGGGGATCTGGAAGCTGACAACAGGAGGATATTTCCCTTCTCCCCAACAGGGACAGCCAGGGCAGGAGTGACAGGGAAACCTCCAGAGAATGTAGCCTCTTGGCAAGGAGGGGAGGCCACGCGCCTTCAAGCTGTTTCTCCCTCACAGGCTGGCAAAAATGTCATACCTCCAGTGTCATTGACAGTGTCACTGGACAAAGTGACAAAAACAGCAAGTGTGTCTTGGAGAGCATGTTTACTCTCCACCCATGGGAACTTGTTTCCTGATGGTTCCTGCATCCTACAATACCAGAAAGTACAGGAGTGTGGCTGTGAACCATGCTAYCTACCATTCAGAGCACCATCTAAAGCCACCACCCAAACAGCAACGCTGGCCAGCTGAACCCAGCTTTCTGAGCAGCACTGCCCACGCCTCGGGCTCAGGCAGGAGTCAGGCAGTGTCAGTGTCTCACACACACAGCTCCACCAGGGAGACAGGTCACCTGGTTCTACCCTGCAACCCCAGCTGAGGGTCTGCCTTGAGATGGCAGACACTCGCCTCTCCTCACCCACTGACACCACTCACTCCTCACAAACAAAGGACACATTTCCCAGAGTCGAAGAACTTGTAAAGTCATCAGCTACAGACAGACCAGAACAGAAGGTGCATAGGACTTGCCACTGGCGGTCACAAAAA